ACAGCAAGCGTTATCTGAGGTTAGAGCATAATTTTGCTGAAAATTGTTACGAATCTTTTCTTTAGTATAACCTGCTTCTAAACCATTTCGTGGAAGTATTTTTATTGGATCAATCAAAACGAATTCGTTGAAGCGGAACGTCATGTGCTCGTGGCCAGTATTCAGTATTTTCAAATAAAACCATGGTATGTTCAGGACAATAAGCAAGAAGCACAAGCTACGATTAGTGTGACCGATGGAAATGAGTTGCAAACCAGTCAAGTGGAAGATGACTCCACGGTGATCAAAAAGACCGAAACTGAGTCAGTTGTTGACAGTACCGAGACGGTGCAGCCATCGGGCGACGTGTCGAAACATGAAGAGGAAACTTCAAGCGAAATAGCAAAGGAGATGCCGATTGATGTGGAACACAAAAGTGAAGATTCGGATTCAGAAGATGAAGAAATTGATGTGGTGAACGATAGCGGCGATGAACAGATTAATACGTTGCTGAAGAAATGTGAAGAAAATTCGAACGGAAATGAAGAATTGAAATTTGATGATGGTATGTATTATTATTATTATTGTTATTATTATTGATTTGGTTTTTGAGAGGGTATAAGAGAAGGGAATATTGACTCGATGATGTTTCATTTCATTATGAAATGAAACATTATGATTTTTCAGTTACGAAAAATGAACATTGTGTTGGTTTTTCGTATTCGTTGCACTCATTTATTGAATTGATTTGAAAATTTTCAAAATTTGTTTCATATTTTTGTGACGTCTATTGCAGAGTATTTGGCAAGTTTGTGTGAGAGTGAGCGAAACGGTTTTCGTGAATTGTTGTTGTATATGAGGAAGAATTTGCGATTCCGTACGAAACTACAGCCATCCGAAGCGATCACCGATTGTGACAGATTGCTGATTACTTTTGAGGTTGGTGTTTTGTTGTTCGTTTGGGATAATGAATTATTTCGAGGCATTCGACTGAGAATATGTCGAATATTTAGCAGGTTACTGAAATATATATTCATTTTATAGGCTGTACTCAATCATGAAATTGATGCGCAGAAACTAGTGGAGATTCAGAACAAACAGAAATTGGCCAAAGATGTAAGTTGTATTCAATCTTTTTTGAAGTTATCAAAAAGTTTTTGAGATGCGAACAGAATTGGACTTAAAAAATTGAATTCAGTTGGTTTGCTTCACTCTATTGTAGTTTTTTGTAATGTTCATTCTGTGAAAGGAACTGATTTTTTGTTGCAGAAAGAAGAAGCGAAACTGTCGTCATCAACACCACAAAAACCACCACGTGAACGAAAACGGAAAATTTCTGTTTCGG